ACCCATTCCATTGTTCTTCAGAGAGAGCCAGAGAGGCGACGAGTTTTGGGGTTTCTCTCTCAAGAGGAACTGGGCAAGTATTTTTGAAGATGGAAGAATTAGAAAATTAACAAGAAAACAGAGAGACACTTTTGTACGAAAATTTCTGTAATTTATTTGGCTATATGATTATCATGTTCTTTATTCATACATGGAATGAATCTCGATGGATAGTTTCAATTAAGGGCATTGTTCTTTGGTCGAACGGATGATCATTTTGGGCTTCACTGGATTTCTTTTGGAGAATTTTCTGAGGGTTTCATTTTATGTGTGGTTCGTTTTGCAATTTTGACAGTTGCCTCATGGTCATTCTATCAAAATCTGGACAAGAATTTCTGAGGATGGATATCAGTTCTATTCCAGAGAAATCGATCGAGAAGTAAGTAATAATAAGATTCTTGACCAAAAAAATTAGGTCAGTCATATTTTCACGATAAATTTTTTAGCTATATGATGATAAAATGGGTTTCAGACTTTCAGTGGATTTTGTTTTTCGTATTCTCTGAGGATTTTCATCGAATCTCAAAGTGTTTGGATTAAAAAATTGTGTTCTCTCTTGTTTCTATAATTTCATTTTCTTTGCAATAATGTTCTTTGTTGGTTCATTTGGATGAATCTAGTAAGATATTTTCTCGGTTGAATTGATGATCATTTTTGGATCACACTTTAATTATTTCTGTGAAATTTCTCTGGGTTTTCGCTGGATCTTTAATGTGTTTGGTGTTTCCTTTCATTCAATTTATGGCTATTTCAGTAATTGAGTGTACCTTGAGTGATATTGTTCTCTGTTGTTTGTGTAATTCCGTTTGTAATTGCATTGTTTGGTGCATTTGGATGGATCTTGAAGGATTTGTCCTTTACTGTATTTCCAATTATCGTGTGAATTTTATATATGGGCTGAATTCATTGATGGAATTTTTGTTTGGTTTGAATATTGCTAAGTTTTGGGTTCCCTTTTCATTTTATTAGTTACTTCAGCAATTGCATTTTGAGTGTATCATGTTCTCCTTTTTCTTTAATTTTTTTTATCTTTACACATTCTATTTTGGTACAATGGCTTGAATATTGAAGGATTTTTCCTGGGTTCAATTTTTGGTTTGCTAGATTTATTTATCTAAATTCTTTGTGGATTTTGTTGAATCTTTAATA